AAATAATACATTTTTGCACATCTAGAGGCAAAATATTTTCGTTTGACAGTGATGGTGCAGATCTGATACCTTCGCTTAGTAAGATTGAATATAGTAGATTTCTTAACAGATGGCAACCCTATTCGAAAAAATAAAACATTTATGCTAATCCCTCGTTTTTGACACCTCATTGTTTTAATCAAACGAACTACGCGGATCTTATAATTTTTTAGACAGGTGGCAACCCTATAGAAGTTTTTAATACCAAAGGTCACGCTCCTGTCTATACCGAATATATTAGAAAAAATCTCGTCAAAATTCGTTTAGTAGTTTTTGATAAAGGCGCATTCAAAAATCTATACTTTCCTTTATACTATTTATAGGTAAGATAGGAACATTTCAATAGGTGGCAACCCTTTTAAAAAATTCAAGCCTTTGTTCATGCGAAGGCCATGCTCTTTCATTTGCTATCTCATTTTGTTATTCAACGAGCGGTGAAAATCTTAATTTTTCAACAGGTGGCAATCCTATTCAGAAAAGTATTACATTATTGCATATCTAGAGGCTAAGTCCTTTCATTTGACAGTGACGGTGCAGGACTGATGCCTATGCTTATTATGATTGAATATAGTAATCTTATTAACAGGTGGCAACCCTATTCAAAAAACTAAAACATTAGTGCCTTTCTAGAGGCCAATCCCTTTCATTTGACACCTCATCTTTTGTAATCCAACGAACGGTGCGGATTTTATAGTTTTTTAGACAACCTACAAGAAACCAAGAAAGGTCACTCTCCTATCGATACAGAGTATATTAGAGAAAATCTCGTCAAAATCCGTTCAGTACTTTTCGAGATTACCGCATACAAAGAATCTCGACTTTCCCTTATATATACATACATATGTAGTAGCAATTATCTGGGGTACTTCGCTGCGCCTTAAATGTATTTTTGTGTTGTAACTCTCTCCCAAACCCCTTATGGCCTCATTTATCAAATATATTTAAAGAGCTTTATGAAGTAAGATTTTCAAAAAAAAAAATTCGATCTATGAAGCATTGTTTATTTTTTTTTGAGTGTGGGTGTTAGTTAATACATATGTTTTCGAAGGTACTTAGAAAATATGTAAAGTACAGACTTTCTCTTGGAAATTTAATTTATAATTTTATAACTGAAGTCGACTATCGCACTCTTTCCTCAAACATGTGTTAATTCAAAATTCAAATACCGTATATTTATTTAATTTGAAGAAAATCTCCCTACTATACAAATATGTACTGCAGTATTAACTAATATTTCAAATGGATGTGAGAGGGGGTAACAAAAGAAAAATACTTTAAGGTGTAGCGAAGCACGCCGGGTATTTGCTAGTATTTAATAATAAAATTAAATTAAAATTTTCAAACAGGTGGCAACCTTCCAAAAAATATTTTCGGCTGTAACAGCCATCCCTAAAGAAAAGCATCAGCGTTGCCTGGCTGTCAAAAAATTCTCTTGCCCATACGATTTGTATGAAGCATACCGAAATAACGCGGCGTCGACGCTTAGCGGTTAGAAAATCCTATTTTGACAGGGCGTTGGCTGCAGAAAACGGCGAAACTGTCATTTTCGTAGTTCACACAAACAAACATATGCTTATTGTTGGTGTTATTTCTTCATTGGACGTAGCTTTGCCGCTTTTGTTTAGGTATTGCACTTCAGCGTTAACGCTAGGCGTCAGAAAACGCTTAGCCCAACGCTTTTGTGTAGGTACGGTAGTAGGATTTCTTTAGCTTCTTTCTTTTGACAGCCATACTTCAACATTTACTCTATCTTATCAATTTGCTTTAACACAAATTTGCAAAAATGGCCTCTATAATATTGTTTTCAATATTTTAAATTGGACCTCTAGCAATGCATCGGTTAGAAGTCCATTCAATTTCATACATTGCAAACATAAAAACAGAGAGACGGTTAAAATTTCTAAAAACTATTGATTTGGCTTCCTTTGCTCTAATAAAGACCTCCCATATTAATTTTTCTTTAATATCTATAATGTACAGCCATCGGTATTTTATAATATTATTAAATGTATAGAATTAAGCTTGAGAACAGCGAAATCGAAGCACATAGTTGCACTTACAGTTCATTCGGCAGTGGAAAAGAGGTTGATATGTAAGTGGATCATTTCCAAACGAAGTGCTATTTTTTTGTTCCCCCCTTTTTAAATTTATTTGTGGTGGTAAAAACGAAAAATCAAAAACCGCATTATACGAACCAAATAATAAGCCACTAGCAAAGCTGCCTTTTTTAGTGCCAGCCGTTTTCTTTTCTTTTGCCAACGGTATTTCTTTGATATATTTTACCTACTTCATATAAAAACATTTGTCCCCGCTGGTTATTCGATAATCAACATGAAAAAAAGTTTAAGCAAAGAAACAATCAAAAAAGGCGTAACTGTTTGTAAATGACCACCTTAACCTTTATTGTTTTATTCTATTTTCGCTTAGAAATTTTATCAACATAAGCGTTGCTTTCTGTTATAATATTGTACTTCCGAATTTTTCTAAATGTAACTTTTTTCATTTTCTTGTTTATATATTTTCGTGAAATAAGACTCTTAGAAAAAACAACCGAAAAAGGTGAAATAATCCCAGAATGTCACTTTTAGGTGGAAAGGATTTTTGATTTAAAAAGCTTATTTCTCCAAAAGTGTTCAAATGGCATATATGGGAAATTGTTGCCGAAGAAAGATTAAACAAAAAGCCTGCTTCCCAAGCAAAACCATGACATGGAACCACGAAAAATGTCATGAAGAAAGTGGAAAAAACTTCATCATTAGCATATGTAATAAATCAGATTCAAAGTGATATGCAAATGTTTAAAAATCATGCATTTAATGTTAAAACTCAGTACAATGCTTATCGGTTAGTATGTATACTTTTTTCTAATAGTTCCAAAATTTAGGATTAAACCTTTAACATTTTTTTAAAAAAGTGGCATTTGGTAAAATATTTTACAAAAATGCAAAAGTAAAGAATAAATTTATCTTTGAAGAGCCTGAAAGCAGTTTCGTATTCTCAAAAATGTTTACGTCGGTAAACGGTTTCAGAGGATAAATTTACCAATCTTAAAAAATCTTGGAAATTATGCAAGTACATACATACATAAATACATATACATATGTGACACGTAAGGTTAAAAAGGACCTACGGTCAGAAAAAATCGGTTTTCACTTTTTCATCGACTCTTATAGTAAACGGGCCGCTCTTTCCAATGCAATAAACCGCAGCTTTCTAGCTGCATTAGTTTTTTCACAATTTCACTTCAAAGTTAGGTACTTTTACAAAAAAAAGTACAAAAAAAATCAAATCTGACAAACTATTCTGAAATTAATCAAATTCGCTTGAAACTCGTTACTCGGGGGTTTTCGGGGTCGCTGATTACGAATCCGATGTTAGTTTTTCAAAATCCAAAATGGGGATCCACATGAATTCGAACAAATTTTAAATTTTTTCCGCCATATTGGATTCGCCATTTTGAATTTAAAGATACGAACATCGGATTCGTAATCAGCGCCACCAAAAACCCCCGAGTAACGAGTTTCAAGCGATTCCCATCAATTTTTAAAAAAGTCATTAGCCATATTGGATCCGCCATTTTGAATTTTGGAAAACTAACATAGGATTCGTAATCAGCGCCACCAAAAACCCCCGAGTAACGAGTTTCAAGCGATTCCCATCAATTTTTAAAAAAGTCATTAGCCATATTGGATCCGCCATTTTGAATTTTGGAAAACTAACATAGGATTCGTAATCAGCGTAATCAGTTTCAATCCATTAAAACGTTCAGAAGCATCAAAATCAACTTGGTAAACTTCAAAGTCGTTTTTCTCGAAATCGTTTTTTCTGAGCGTAAGTCCCTTTTAACTTTACGTGTCACATATATTCATTCATGTTCATACTTACAAACATACATATGTTTAATTTGTTGTGTCAACCACATACTGCATATGAGTGTAATGCGATGCTTTGTCTTTCGTTTATAAATGTGTACATACATATGTGCGTACATACATGTCTGTATTTAGCAAGTTCCATAAGTGATCGCTGTTTAGCTCAAATACGTGTATGTGTGTATGTAGTATGTGGTACAGCGCGGTCACGTCGCTCATACACATCTCGTTTGCCTTTGTGAGCTCGTGTTTGATCGGCCCTGATATACAGAATTTTCGCGTATAGTTTAAAAAACTAGTACCTCGCTATTATAATTTGCATTCGTACTGTCATCAGGTATGAGAATCAGTGTTGCCAGAACTTTTTGGATCAACCGGCTAAATTAGCAAAACAAATCGGTAAAAACAGCCAAACTGTTTCAACTAAGTTTCGCATGTTTTATTTAAATAAATCATAAGTAGACTAGTTCTTGGAGAGAAGTTGCAAATTCAAGCTTGAACAAATTTTGTGGCACATGGTTGCATTTTTTGTCGACGATAATTTAAATAAACAGGTTCGTCAAATTTATAAATTTACAAACTTGAGCGATTTTAAAATGAAAAAATGTGAGTAAATACTTGTTTACTTAATTAATTTAGTTAATTCCAATGATTTCAAACGTACTCGGAATGCATCTCGACCAGAGTCGATATAGGAAACCCGACAGTTACTACGACAAAGAAATTGAAACGTATGTTGAAGAAAGTCGGGCTAACAAGAAATATACATGTAAATCCTGCTGTTTTTTCCTCTCTGAAACAATTTTAACAATTCTATACAGTTTTCTTATGTTTGAAATGCAACTGTGGACACCAGCTGGCAGGGAAACTTGCAAGTTTCTGTAAATTTTCGTCCGTGCAGAAATTTGCAAGTCTCTCTACTCGAGAGAGAATTTGGGAGCATTTTTTCTCACTAACTGATATTTTGAGTGATAGTTTTCGCTGGATTTTCGACGAACAAGCCTATTGTCTTCCCAGAGAGTTATACTGAGCTCAATCATCTCTATCGATTCGAATTTTTTATTTTTGTTTTTATATTTGGAGCCCAACTGCATTTGTTCCCTTGTTCCTAGACTTGTTTTACACTTCGCAATATGAAAACTCACCCGCTGTTCCTTCTGTTGCTGGCGACGTTGGATGAAAACATCTGCAGCTCGAACAGCATCAATTTGTTTGCGACGTTTAAGATTTTTATCAAGATCGTTGCAGTCATTAGATTGCTGACTATCACTAGAACTGTTAACAGTAGGGGAATGTTTCCTAAGATAAGCAAAAAAAGTTGAATTATATGTAATTAGAAAATGGTATAGGTACAACATATTCTTTGTATACCTAGATCCGCGGTCATCACTTTGAAACTCACTAGGACCAGTTGAGCCACAAGATGTTTTTTTTTTTACAAAATTATTGCTTCGGGATTGGCGTTCATTTCGTTCATCAAGAACAGAACTTTTGCGAACATCGCGTTGTCTGCCATGTTTTTTGTGTTTGCTTTTATGGTGATGACGCTTAGAAGGGCTTCGTGATGACCGTGAATTCCCCATATTTTTACAAGCTTTTATTTAACTTGCTCTGTATGTTTGTATGTATGTATGTTTGTTAGGGGCAAGTCTTGCAGTCAATTTTTGACCTACCTCCTAATGACCTAGTGACTTGAAATTTCACAGTTGACTCAAAACCCAATGACAATGCAATAAGAAAGATAAGTTAAACCGATATGTGGCACAGGAGTTGAAATATTTGAAAAACCCGTATATAAAGTACGAATCGGTTCATATTTAGAACGTATTACATGAAAACGAATAACCACTAAAAGTTCCTGAAGTAAAGTTTATGTCCCGATTTCGTTTATATTTACAATGCTTGCTTTAAAAATATTTGCTTTTACTATTAACTTATTTAACTGGATAACATATAAATAAAGGGCATGTCAATGAATAGATATGAAAGGATACGAGTAAATACAAGTACATACTCGATACTTTTCGTTCGATACCAAGTAATTTTGGTATCGAAACTTTTGAGCGACCCTATAAAAACAACAACAACAGTGATAGTCATTTAGGCTCTGTCACACGGTCAGTATTTATGAACGTGATCCAAGTATTGCTATGTTGTTGTTGTTGTAGCGGCTACTAAGCCCCGTTCGGGACGGTTCATTCATCATCGTTGTCGTCTATTTCAGCTAAGGGGAGGCCCAGGAAGTGTGCGACTTCCACAGGGGCTGTCCATAGGGACAGGGGCGTTAGCTGAGTGGGATTCTCAGGGCATGTGAAGAGGTGCCGGGAGTCATGTGGCGACTCTCCACATGCCGGGCATTGGTTGGGCACATCCTCGTTGATTCTGCTCAGGTAGCTGTTGAGCCTGCTGCAATAGCCAGAGCGAAGTTGGGCTATTGTTGTGCGGGTCTCCCGAGGCAGACAAAGTTCTGTCCCGTCCACGTCCGGTGGTTGTGTGCCTAGAACGGCATTCACAGGGCGGGAGTCTACATAACTTGAGACTGATTCCCTGTGAATGCCGTTGAGGGCCTCTCGGTAGGTTGTCGGGTCCAGAGGTTGTTTAATATACATCTGGACTTCGTCTGTCAGTTCGTAAAGATGCCTCCTGACGTGCCGTGGCGAGGGCTCTTCCGCGAGCAGTTGCAAGCTGGGATGGCCACGTCTGTAGCTCCCAGCGAGGAACTGCTTGCAAAGCATTAAGTTATGCTCCTTTACCGGGAGCATCTGGGCCTCGTCATGAAGGTGATGTGGAGGCGTCATCAGGAGGCATCCTGTCGCGGTACGTAATGCCGTGTTTTGGCAGGTCTGCAGCTTCATCCACTGCGTCCTGCTAGTCCCCGGCGACCATACGGGCGCTGCGTAGTTCAGAACCGGCCGGCCAATTGCCTTGTATGTTGCCAACAACTTTTCTTTATCTTTGCCCCAAGTGCTGCCGCATTTCAGTGGTGGTTCTTTTAATTCAAGTTGGCCTTCGGTTTTTGGAATTTAAATAAGTTCTCAGCAAAAAAAATTGTTTAAAAAATCCATATGTGTACAATGTACATAGTGCTCAAAAATATAGATTTTTCCTTTATCTTAAAACTTTAAGCGTGGGAAACGATGATGTTCTGTAATTAAGGCAGAATAGAATATGCGCTATCTGGGAAGACAATTACAGGTAACAATTATTCTTGTTATAGGTAACATTTATTCTTGGCACTATATCGAAACACAAACGCGTGACATGAAAATTTTCTCCGTGATAAGGCTAGTAGCCATTTCTAACAAACTTTGGATCTCTTAGTAAATAATGGAAACATATATATTTGAATTTTAAGAAAACAAGGCTAATAGCCAAATCGGCTAAAAACGGCAATTTTTTTTACAAAAACGGCTAACAAATCGGCTTCCAGCTAAACCGAAATTTCTCCGGCTGTTTGCTATAGCAACCGGCAAAATCTGGCCGGGAAACACTAAAATGGCAACACTGATGAGAATAGAAATCGCTGCATCTTTTAGGCGCATCAATATTACATAGTTACATCCCGTGCTAATAAAAGGGAGGTAAAAAAGGGGGTTTATCTTCTTTGTTTCAGAATGCAGACATGAGCAAAGCCTTCACCTGCAGAACACCGACAATTTTCAAATACTTTTAAATTGTTTTACATTCGTTTGCCAAATTAAATATTTTGATTATTTTAAAGTTTTTTAATTATTGTAACTTAAACTTAAAATCATATTCGCATACTATTGTAACCTTTCAATTCGAATATCGTAAATTCCTTAATGTTGTAGTTTCGAAGTTTGTAAGCGACGATACGAGGTGACCCGACCTCGCCAACCTAGTGCTCCAGTCAGTCTTCGACTGACCGCCGCCGAAATCATTTGCTCACAAGGTTTATACGCCACTCGGGCATACAAATTAAATTGTTAGCTCTAAGATTAAAATTATAATTCAATAGATATACTGAAATGAAAAGTCATTCTTCTCTTTTTGGTTCCTACGGACGGAAGTATAGTTGTGCACCCTGCACGTTAAATAGTCGTATTAATTGCGAACATGGTGCTTTGTCGCCACGGCAACCGCGACCTTACCTAGAGTAAATAAGTACATATGTACATATTCGTCAGTTAGAGAAAATTTTAAACGCCGTCGGTAGCGAACCTTCAAGCGAGCGGCGGTAGTTAAAAAACCAAAAACTCGAAAAGACATGTAAAGCCGGTAAAAAAGTGAAAATAGGAACAAAATTTAATAAGTGAAACACAAATTTCATGTAAAATCGAACAATTAAAGAAGTGATGCAATATTTACAAAAAAGCCAAACAAAAAAAAGCAAACTGGACTATAGCGGCACCGACAAAGTGATACATATGTAGGTATGTACATTAGAGTGGCAAGAAACAAACACAAAGTTTTTAAGTGAAACCAAATAACTCAAAATATTGGCAAATAAAAGTGGGTACATAATATACACTGTATACAAAGAATCTCTGAAAAGAAAATTGAAAAATATATACGTTTGTTAAAAACAAGGCTACTTTCCTATATCGAAATATAAAGGTGTTTTGGAAAAAAAATTTGCGAAAAGATCAATTTTACCTGAAAAAGAATTAAAAAAAAGGCATTTACATATATACGTGTGCAAAGAAGCGGTACTTACCTAAATAAAAAGTGCTGGAAAAATTCGGGAAACAAAGGGTAAATACTTACCTGAATCAAAATATAAAGGTGGTTGGAAAAAAAATAATTTTTGCGAAAAGAGCAATTTAACCGAAAAGAAAAAAACGTTTAGTTACATAGAAGTGCTAACAAACAAAATCTTGCAAATGAAAAGTGCATAGAGCCTGAAAAAGAAAAAAAGTTGAGAAAGTATAAAACCTGAAAAGATAGAATTTAAATAAAAAGAGGTGAATTTCAAAGAAAAAGAGCATATCTAAGAGAAAAAAATTAAACGTAGTACTAAAATAAAATCAAAAGTTCGCATAAATAAACTTACAAGTTTTGAATAAAAGCAAATTTTATCAAAAAAAAAAAAAAAACTCAACCACAGAAGCACAAGAAGGAAGAGGAGGCAACACAGGCAACACACAAGCGGACGGGAGCTCGATGGACGTAGCAACGGTCAACGCCAAAAGCAGTAGGCGTAACACAATACTTTGGAGACGGTACAGTCGGGTAAAAAACAAGGTGGTAGAAACCCAGCAAGTCACTCATTACACATTACAACGTTGTATGCCTTAGCGGAACACATGCCCACAGTTAACGGAAAACCCCCTTTTTTCATTTGCTGTTTTAAGTCGGCAAACTCGCGCCAATTTGAAATCACTCGCTCTTATGTATTTAAAATATATGTACTAATAAGTGCATGCTCTTTTAGCCGTTAAAATAAACATAAACCCATCTGTTACAACAAGTCCGCTAAGACATACAAAGTACACATATGATATATACTCAACTTATTCATACATATACACATATACGCTCATATGTACTTACACCCATAATTTCCCCTGTGTTGAGTGCAGAAGGTACCAGCTAATTTATCTATTGGGACTACGTTAGTTACATATAAAAAGCTGCGCACATATATGCTCCACATAAGTACATACTCAAAAAATCATACTGCGACAGAAAAAAACGGTACTATAAAATTTGCGCGTTCTATATTTACCCCCTTCCACTTATGCCGAAGTATATTTTCATTTTTGCCCTTTAAAACACGCAAATCTATGTATGTAAAGAAGCCAAACCCGTTACCTTCATAATTAGCTCGCTCTAAACCAAATCTCGCACGAAAATTTCAGTTGAACATAGATGCATATACAGTATATTTTGCTTTGCTGCCTCTATGCTTAAGTGCACATTTAAGATACCTAGCCCAAAATGCGCATCAAAAGCATTACTTCTAACATTTATAAGGAAACTGCTCCGATAGATCCATTCAACATACCTGCACATTGGCGATACCTGCCTTAAAAATTGTGCGACTAATATCAATTATCAAAGAAAGTATTACGTTTACCTGCACTGGCCCTACAATTACCTAATTTTAGAACCTTTTATTTATTTTGCTCATCTCGCAGAACAACGAAAATGGCTATCAATTTATGTAGTTTTATAGATAATTAGATAACATTCGGTAAAAAATTTCGCTTGCAGTAATTTCTACATAATAAAATATTTGGTTTCATAGGGATTCGGATACCTTCCTCATTGAAGTAGTAAAGAAAATTCGCTTAAGTGCCTTTTTCGGTTACGTGCACAAGTTTTTCGTGCAAAGAAGGATGTGCAGCTAAGCAAAATATACTGTATCTAAGTACATACCACGATTGAGAGAAATAGAGATTGCGCCAATTGCGGTACCGCTAGTCCGCTCTGTGTGATTTTGACAGAATCAACTGTGTGCGTGACGTCATCTTGGTGCAATTGTTGATTGTGAGCATATTTTTGCGTTAATGTTTCTGCGTGGTTTTAAACAATTATTGAGACATTACAAAGCAAAATGAAGCGTGCCGTGGCAAAGTGTAATAGTGAAAACAAAAGGAAAGCGTGCGATATAAGTTTTTTTTTTCATTTCCTACGGACGCAAATCTGGAGAAAAAGTGAAAGCAGTTCTACCGTCGAGGAGATGCATTAAACACCAAATCGAGCTATGTGTGCATGAAGCACTTTACTAGTGAAGATATTGAAAATAATACACAGTTCGAAATGGGTAACATATTGGCTGCGTTTCTTTATACATTCCGGATAATCCCATTCCACAGCCGGAATAAACAGAATGCGTTTGAAATATACGTTAACATATCGTCAGGAACGTTTTATAGAATAAGTAAACAAAAATTTTATTCCAAACGTTCGGAATGAATAAAGAAATGCAGCCATTGTGTATTTTCATATTAATTGCATTGCATGGTACAAAAGTTGTCAAATAAAAGCTGTGGAGTTTATGGTGGTTGGCTACCGTCCACAAATATAAATATGCA